TACTGGCAGAATGAAAATATATGAATGTCCAATTTGGTCCTGCAATCACTGATTTGTTTGGACGCAAATATGACGGAGAAATAGACTCGTACAGTCCAGGCCAACTCTTTGGCGTCGTGTAACAGATCGCGTACAAAATTTTTTGATACTCGAACACAAAAAATTTAGGAATGAAATCTCAGACAAAGGGATGTTCTTCGGGAATTTAGGGAATGTCAGGAAATTTCAAAGTTCTTATTTAATAAAATAAGTGACCAGCCCCAATATAAGCTCGAAAATTACTGAATTCAAGGATGATACGTTTTTCTTGCTAAATTCAAAAGGTAACTCAATATAATAAATTTAGGGAGACAGTGAACTCTAATGATAATATCGCTTTAATAGAATTGCTCTATTTCAGACAACGTATGTGAGAGGAAATGAACATTAGTGGAAAACTTATCTATTAACAGTTTCAAGTGGAATATGAAACAAAGGCGCTATTCGAAGTTGGTTTTTGATTAAAAATATTCAGGGATCCTAGAGTTTGTGCAAATAGGAAGCTCCGAAGGTGGAAGCACTTGCAAATTATAAATATAGAGAGAAAATTTAAAAGCCGTGCCGTAATTATCTAAAAATTGAATTCACTGTGGAATTCAATGAAAAATCGTTTCCTGGAGCCGGTATTGGTAAGCTTAATATCCACGTGACAGAAATAGGCCTTGCTTAGAAAATCCATGCCAGAGTTATCATTTAATCGGAATAACTCAACCGCAAATACGAAAAAAGGAAGATTGAACTGTAAATTTAAGAAGATATGTAAATAAATATGCAGTCATATATGACAGCAAATTTCTTTCATATGAAACAGTCATTCTCTCCTTTAAAATCTGGAGTGTATGTTTATATTTTCTAAAAAAATAAAAATGAATAAATTCCTCTTATATGAAGCCATAGTTGGGAATTTAATATTGGTAAATTCCATAAAGCAGGCAATAAGCATGTACTTGCTTATTTTCTGTCCATTTAACTGGTTTGTTGTATGAAAGATCAGAACAAGTATTTAAAACTCTGTGGGGTTGAAACCCAAAATATAATACGAGACGAAAATGGACATGAAATTTATAATTTATACACTTTGTTGCACATTTGATTATTCTTGTACCGCCCAATCATATAGAATGGGGTCTCCAAAAAATTTCACTTTCACAACGTGTGTAATTTTCATGACTTCTTAGACATCAAATTCTTCGTTCCGTAGCCATTAAAGTAATCTAAATCTTAGAAGGATCCTCATGCAGTTTGTTTGCAACTGAGTCTAAATGCTCCCAGTAAGTTGGTATCACATATACAACTTCGCTCACTTGGCGTATGCATTGATTTTCACCCGCGAGTTTATATAAGTCGCCCCAGGAGCCCAAGCTGTCGATGTGCAAGCGCATGAAGTGTCCAAAACATTTGTTTACATGCGAACTCAGAGCCATAAATCTGGTCGCCGTGCTCTGAACTATTTACGTTACATTTCTGGTGCTTGGGAAATTATTGCACTACGAATAGCATCAAAGGCTATAGAATAATGTTAGCGATGTTGTGCATGCGTGTTTTTGGGGGAAATTTGTATTAAGACTAGAGTCTGAGCCAGATCCGTAAAAAAGAATCATCCAACCATATGGAAATTTTCTTTGCGCTTTATCGAAAACCTATGTATCTATTGTGAAGAATACGATATGAACGATACGATAAAAAATTATGAAAAAATTAAAATGAGATGCCTCGTTGAATAATATTGCATCGTATATTATCTATCGTTTATTATCGCTCGCAGCAGATATCAAGGTACAAAATTTCAATGAATATTCCATTCGGCGAATAAGATTTAAGCATTTTTTGCCTTCGCAAGTTAATATTACAGGCCATTATTTTTAATAATATTCGCGCCATCAAATTAATGTGAATAACTTGGTGATACAATTTAATAGAGGGTAAAATTTTGTCCTTTTATCCACGAAAAATGCTTATGTATAGAAACGCGAGCGTTCGAGTCTACGTGCTTAAACGGAATTAATTCGTTCGCTGTAAAAGCTGATGACCTGCCCCGCATATATCCCACTTCTGGACAATCCAAACGTCTTCTCTTCCAAGAATCCTCTCTGACGTTGAAGACGTGACTTCTTAGGGCAAAATTCTCTAAAGTTTTAATGTCGATCGCGAGTTCAATGATGATCTGGGTTTCCATCTTCCCCGACTGAGATTTGCAGCTGGGAGCTGTAAAAAAAGTAAATTGAGATTGTCGGCCGGAGTTACGGGTTTGCAATTATGCTCAAGCGTCCGTAGTTTGTTCGTGCTCACAGTCCATGCGCAGACGGGGAAGGCTAGGGTAATTTTGAGGCATTCTCTAGGGAAAATAAATTATTTTAGTAAGCCTTCAGAGCTGCGCTCCGATGAGTCTCTGGAGGCTGCACTAGAATGAGCCTACACAGGCTATACTCAATGGGTCTTGATGAGGTCAGCGTTCTTTAAGTAAAATTTGGCAGTGTTGAATAATTGTCGCAATGAGCGCGTCTTTAAAATGTTGCGTTTGCGATTCGCAAAATTTTGTAGAAACCTGAGTTCAGATGGCCTGATGTTCTATTTAATTCGACTAAATTATTTACTTCAATACAGTTACACTAACATATGCCTACAATGCAAGGTTTGTAGCCCGATTGATCTCAGACAGTACTGATTAGTCATAAGAACAATTGATATTTGGATTCAAATGTAGAATTGCACAGTTTCGCTGAGCGAATAACATGCGGCGTTGGAGACGAACATGTGTCTGGATGTTCGGACGTGGAATTCGGACTTGGCTAATTCCGTCACATTCCGCCTGGAAGAAAAGCCACGAAATGAGAGAAGCGGCTCCATGCCGGACGTTAATGACACCATGAACGCGACATTCTTAGGAGAGCTCTTCGTTCTGGCTTCCGGCTCCAGGCGAATCAGACTTGCCCCTTTCACCTCTCGCTATGTCATCCTGCATGTGAATTTAATACGTGCTGGAGCGTTAACTTTAACGTAATGCGATACGAGTGATGAAAGATTAAAATAACAAGTTTCGAGAGTCCTGCATTCCTGAAGATTGTCGAAGTAAATTCGATTAAAATATCTGACCCGGACCAGCAAAGGCCATTGGTCTACGGAATTTGCAACCAGCATTCAACTATCTCAACTGTGATCGCTCAAAGTTTAACCTTCCTCTGGTTTTGGCTTTCCATACTGATCAGTGCTTTCGCTAAGGCAAGATGGAGTTTAGACGTTAGTCTTGTTTGGGTGTGGGAGGGAATTATTAATTCATATAGCGAACAATTGTAAACAAATTGTAGTGATTAAGAGTTCGAAACTCCACTCAAGCTCGATTTATTGACACCTGACGAGAAACGAATATAAGGGTATAGCTTGATTTAAAGGTACATTTTGATCCTAATTCCAGGCAGAGTATCAGAAATAAAAGTCAATCAGAGTTTCTTTTTCATCTACTTGCAAATTACAGCTCCTGACGAACGCATAGTTCACATAAACCGTGAACTGCACTCTTTAAGAACGCCTCCCGATTATCAGAGAGAAAATAATCTGATGAAAGGATCTCACTTGAATTCTGCTCGCCTTTTAGGCAAATAACCGAGATTTTTATTGCAAGAATTTGCATGCGAGTGTTGCAGTTCACGATCGCCGCAGAGAGGCGCTTCTGAATTATTCTGCGACCCACAGCTACTGGCATCAACAAGAAGATTTCTTTTATCGTTCTTTAAATTTTTTTTCTGAGCCATCGCGGGAGAAAAATTTACTCCTGGAAAACATCGACCAGAATGACGAAGTCGATGGGGTAATAACTTTTAAACGCGCATTAAAATGGGAGCATAAACAGCAAACTTGGCAAGTTAGACACTCACTAACTTGTGAAAACTCATCAGCATTTTATGACATAAAAAATAGTTTAAATGAACCTTATTCGTAAGGCATTAAGCAAGAGTCATACAAGGTTATTTTTCAACGAGGCTCTTCATATCGTAGCTAATACAGGCCATAAAAAGAGGAGGTCTTTTAACTCCTCTAACGCTGCTGCCCTGCGGATGAGAACGCAGTCACGCATTGTGAACAAGGCGTTTTTTTGAAGCTCCTAGCAGTGGCGTTTTGAAGCCAGTGAACAAATATTATTAAGCTATTTCAGGAGGAAAGTATCAACTTGTACGCAAACGACTAACTGAAGCACTGCTACTGCAGAGTTTGTATTATTCAGGGAACCATTTACGTGATAAATGTTCTTATTCAGTTTCAAATTGCCGAGGAATTCATTCCAGAGCTGCAAACCATCCAGGAATTATGCCAAGGTTGTATATGCCAAATTTTGCCGAATTTCAGGCGGATATTAGTTTCTCTTAATTGTCAGGAATACGGAAGACAATCATCGTAAGTCGCGCCCGGCGGGGCCGTTCTCGGACCCATACGCTGCCTCTGTCCAGGGGCCGTTTATTAATGCATAGATGATAGCAGTTTAAGTAAGGTTAAATTTCTTTGAATAGAGTGAACAGCAAACGTCATCTTAAAACTTAATAAATATTGCATCAAAAAGTCATCTAGAAGTCTTTGTGGCTTCCAGAATTTTCAAATGCTGATCGCTATTTTACGCAGACCGCAGAGTTCGGGCAGAGACAGTTCATAAATTTGATGAACAACTGTTGTTTGTTCACCATTCCTCCTGAAATGAACGGTTATGCACCTTAAATACCGAAATTTATTTAGTTTTAGCTAAAAAAGAATTTACCGAAAGAAATGGAATTTTTTTTGAAATATCCAACTACAACTTCCATTTGGATATTTCAAAATATCCAACTACAACTTCCATACAACTTCCTACTTTGAAATATCCAACTCTGTACTAAAATTTTATGAATTCGTATACTTCATCTTAAATCAGTTGAAATCTTTTCATTATATAACCCCTGCTGAGATTAAACATGGTACCATTCAATTACACTGACCTGAAGAGCAGCACGCAGCGCAGATGAGCAGCACGATGAGCAGAGAGCGTCGGGTGAGCATCGCTGCAGAGACGAGAGGTCCTTCAAAGACTCTAAAGCTCCTGTGCCATTAAGAGTATTTTGATCAGAAGTGGCTGAGCCCAAATAGGTGAAGTTTGTAAACAAGACTCGTGATTGGCCTGGGCATTCTCGCCCTTCCTGCCAATAACAAACCTCCTAATAGCGTCTCTAGACTTGGCTATGATCCACTTGAGCGACTAATTAATTTGTTACTTCTTTTCCGAGCTGGATGATCACACTGGTCAAGATAGCAACGTTCTATTTGGTAATCAAGCTCATCTGAGGATAGAAAAGTAGGCTATAACTGAGGAAAATGTCATCAATTACAGTCATGGACATGAGCTGAAGGTAATTGCAGCGGCGCTTGCAAACAATTATTAGGTAATTGGGTTTTAATTGGCTATTTCAGAACGCATTGCGAAAAGGTAAATCAAGCATTGAGTGAAGTGAGAAACACGTGCAATTAAATTAAGGCTGCTGCAAGAATTGAAAACTTATAACTGTGAAAACTAAATTATAACCCAAAAATGAAGGAAATAAGTTAGTCCAGCCACCAGCAAAAATTTGGAGTATTCAACAACATTCGAGGTACGGTACTCAATACGAGTGTGTGGACTATAAGTAAATATTCAGATTTGCTGCTGAATTGGTGAGAAATTATCTGCGACAAACGTCATTGAATTGTAGCGACTTAATAAAGCGTGCAAGCTGCCAACTGCTCCTGTAAGTTTAAAATATCTGCATATACACATCAGAAAATTTAATTAAACAATCAACATTATTACACCTGAATTAAAATTCTAAGCGAACTTGAGCTTCTCGTGTTTGCAGGCCTCCTCGAGAATGAGTGACGGGGAGAGCGTCTCTCATTAAGTGCGATGCAATAAACTGCGCGGGCTGCCGTGGCAGGGGGGCGGTGCACCCCGCGGCGAGCAGGGCTTGATGCGTGTAGGGGTGCGTGGAACAGCTTAATGTGTGTGGCATTGTGTGGAGTGAGACTAGCACGAACATATAAATACAAGTAGTTATGAGTAGTGAGTGTCGTAGGAACAACTTAATGCGTGGAGTGAGTATAACACGAACAGCTTAATGCGTGTAGCACTGTCCATAATGAGTGTAGCACGAACGTCTTGATGCGTGTAACAATGTCTAGTGAGTGTTGCGCAATCAGGTAAATGCATGTGGCACCGTGAGCGGTGCATGAAACACAAACGGGTAGAGTGGGGCAGCTTCTTGAAGGATCGTGACGCGTAGCATCAAAGAGCGTGCAGTGTAGCATCAAAGAGCGTGCAGTGTAACATCAAAGAGCGTGCAGCGGAGCATCAAAGAGCGTGCAGTGTAGCATCAAAGAGCGTGCAGTGTGGCATCAAAGAGCGTGCAGAGACGAACATTAAGTGGGATCTGCATGCATCACGTTAATAGAAGCTTTGTCCGGCATTGCAGTTCGATCGATCACTTCTGATCAATAAATAACTATCGCTGGACTGTTGATGCACACAAAACTTTGACGGCACTGCGGTGGCTCAGCCACGTGAGTGTGGTGGCAGAACTTCTCACAAAGATATTTGTTCTATTGCTGAAGACGCAATAGTAATATTCAAGACAGGTGGATTAGAGAAATAATGGTTAGGACCTATAACCTAGTTGAAAAAATTTCACAGTAACAGAAACTTTTATTATTGTCCCTTATTTTGAAGTCTTTTAAACAGTTCTTCGGCGTAATGCGCTCATCATACGACAGTTAAAGTTATCATTATTCCAATAAAATGTGATTTTCAAGCCAAAAAAAGAATAATATTTTTATCGAGATTTAAAAATCATGGAAAGTCTTAATCAGACAACTAACTCTTGCAAAAATAATTTGGCAATTAAAAACCCATTGAGTGAAAAAAAGAACGTATTCACTCTGGTCATCGACGTCTCAACGATTAAAAACATCTAAAGTGTTATTAACAATCAACTGGGTCATATTAAATCCAGTGGTCATATAAAGCCCAGCAGCCCATAAAAGTCTACAAATGCCATAAAATGTTCAGTGGGCTATAAAATGACCGGAAGGGTTCTATAAAAAGTTCAGCGAGTTTAAAAAAAAGTAAAATGCGTCATTCATATTCATCTGGTCATGAAAAAGTATACCTAGTGAATTTCACAAATGTTTACTTAGTCTTTAATTTATTTGATATCCATTGCAATGCTGAATGTCTAATCAACAATGTCGGAAATTAACTATATGAAAAATATTTAAAATGCACTTAGTAATTCACATGTTACGGGCACCAATATTATGGGTTGACACGATGTAACTCAACTTAATCCATAGATCGTAGAAACTGAAGCGCTAGAATGAACACCGGAATAGCACAAGAAGATTGCGAGTCAGACGTTACGAATTCGTGTGTGGGATTAGACATTAAAAACTCCCCGCAGAAGTTCGAGATTTTGGACACTGCGTGCAGTAGGCGAATGTGTGCTTCATATGCAGCATGAGAAAGCAGTGCCGCTGTAGCGCAATGGTAGTAACACTGAGATTAGAGGAGCTATCGAGCTTTGTGAAGCACGATCAATTTCTCAGTTTGATTTTTGTGGGCGGCGCATGATAGGCGCCGAAGGTGATGCATCAGCATGGCTTACGTGCATAGGTGGTGCCCCAACACGCCCGCCGGTTGCGCGCCACCTAGAAGATCTCAAGTTCATGTAACACCCTTAGTGGAACAATTTTCTAACGGAGAGGCATGACATTGCAAATTGCATCCAGTAGAGGAAAATATTACAGTTTGAAGACAGTGTAAGCTCCACTGAGGAAAGGCGAGGGGAGAGCTAGGTATAGGGCTCGGGAGAAAATAATTCAACATAATGCAGAGACAAAATATACGGCGAGCTTCACAAGTTATCTCATAAAAAGCGACACAGTCACGAGTAATAATACGGCGTTTAGCCCTGCCTCGCTAATTACCCTGACGCGCTCACAGCTCTCAGGGAGGCCGGGATTAGGCGAGTCGCTTAGCGCCGGCAGCGCAGGCTTATGTTTGTAATGTGCAGCCGCTTACCGGCGCAGCTCGGCGTCTCGAGGAAACTGTACTGTGGGTTTCACGAACTTAAATAATTTTTGGCACCTTTGAAACTACTAATAAAGGACTACTTTTTAAATAATTAAGAATAAAAGCTCAGACAAAATGAAGTTTCAATCGAACTGTGCATATTTCATCTGAGGCCTTATTACAGTCACTGACGTGTGTAATCACTGTCACTGACGTGACACTGTCACTGTAATGACTGTCGCTGACGTGACAGTGAATCAGTTACACTGATTCACACAGTGTACTGACACTCACAGTGTGAATCAGTTCACACACAGTGAACTGATTCACAGTGAATCAGTTACACTGATTCACTGTAATGACGATAAACTGGAGACTACTGTAACAATTATTAAAAAACTAAGATGTAGACCGTATGACACATTATCCAATTAAAACGGCTGTAGACCGTACGACACATTATTTAATTACGACAACGCGCAAGTTTAATCAATCGCCGTTCGTTTGATAAATGATGCTTGCTTTAAAATCATGTAAATTTAATCATTCTGCTTCCAATCGACAGGAAATGCAGAAAATTTCCGCTTCCATTGATAGAGTCGTACGCGGATATTACCTAGGTACTAGTTTTGCGCGCTCAACAAAGACACTTTGCCGCTGCATGTTAATTTCATTGATTAAAGCTTTACAGCTGATTTCCATTGACTGCATCAGTCATAAGTGATCGAAGCTGCATGACACTTCCATTTATTAATTTGAATTATTTAATAAGAACTTCACCTCGCGGGTATATCAATTTATGGCTTCTTTTATTTTCAAATTTCTTTCCGCGTCTTCTTCAGATGCCACGACAAGTCAAGTGTGTCAAATGGCCGCGATCAAAGAGCAAATCTTTTGATAAACAACAGAAATTCTTTCATTGCTTCAACGACTAAACCCAGTGCGATATATTTCTCAGTAACCTGTTTCAAACACCCAGCATTAGGATCAATTGCATCCTTTGAAGTTGTTTTCGTCATGAGCTTCAAATGCTTCTCAGAAAACATCTCGTAGAATGCGTCCTATTCAACATGTTTTGGACGGCCGTGTGAAGCGCTGCAAACAAATTTTTCGTAAATTACTTGAGCTTGCTAAAGGGAAACCAAAATGCAAACCTCAGTTAGAAAACAGGAAACTTGCACCATTTTTCGTTTCCTCAATAGTTGAATTTTTCTGTTGAAATCCATAGATTGTATGTAAAATTTAGGTCGTACGCGTGACAGGGCGTGTGATCTGGAATTTGGGTGGCAGTAGAGCGAGGATATCTCTTTGAAGCGCACAAGTCTCTATGATTCAATTTTAACAATAACAGCAGGACGCGTGAAAAATGTGGACAGATCCTGCAAATCTCTGAAAAACGAGTAAGTTATGGTCTTTGATAGCAAGGATACGCCTCAGTAGAAAGACCTGCTTGTCGCCTGGTGCTTCGTGCATTCCGACGTCGGAAGGATACTTTGTAGTAATCTCAGATGTAAGAATATGTAAGAATGTGTTCAGAATAAACGTGAACGTCGCCAATGTAAAGTTGCGCAAATTTATTTAGCAAGTATTAATTAGTTCCCGAAAGATAATAAACTTAGTTCAGAAATTCAATTAAAAGAACCATAGGATTATTTGCTATAAGATTACCTATTGTGACGATACATATACCTACTCTCTGTTCATTTACTTGTGAGTAAATAACTAAATTAGCAGACAAATTTATATGATTTATATGAACATCAGGGAATAAGGATTCAGCCAAAAAAACATTGATTCTGAATTGAAGTACTAAAGAATATGAAGTAGCTTCTTTTTTGTGTTAACTAACTTAGGGCAACAACTAAACATGGGCTCGGATGAAGTTTCTGTTAACTGTTGTTGACCAGAGAAATGCTTTCAATTTGAAAATCTTACAATAGAAAAATTTTAAGATCCTAAAAACAGAAATAGATTTCTCAAGTATAAGTTCGTCAAAAGATTAAGCTATTTAAATATCGCTACACATCAACTTAATACCAGTAACAGTTGTCAAATAAATTACTTTGGTCGAGATCTGAAGAAACGTGGACAAATAACCATGAAATCTTCTCATTGAATTCGAGAACTGATGTGGCATAACTGAGATAACAATTATGCTAAGGCGACCAAGAAACCCAGTCAGAATTAGGAAACGAGTCAGAAGAAAAAGAAGAATGAAGACGAGTAAATGGC